TTCACCACACTACTTACTGAGGAACAGCCAGAGGAGTGGTTTGCCTTTAGAAAACTGCTGGGAATCCAGGACTCTCAAGTGAGCGCTTACTCCTTGCCTTGTACAATTGTAGCCTTGCTGAACTTAGGATTGTTGGTTTGTGAATGAGTGTAAGTGCTTGTGTTTCAGTACTACTTTATTTGCCAAAACAAGCTATGGGCTAAATTTGGTGTTTGGCTATAGTTTGCCTTGAACTTAAGCCTTCTCAGGATTTTTGGCTATGTCTCCTTCAATTCAAATTTAATATTATATTAAAATACGTCCATATATAATAAGTGACTCTGCGGTCCATCTAAATTAGAGCATCAGGAAGGCTCATGGTTCTACTTTGATAAGAACAACTCTAAACTGGAAAGTGATGGGTTTTTCTCAGGAAGACCTGTTGCTATGGGTGAGTCAGTGAGTTATCTCTTGGAAGTGAGGAAGGTACAAAGGAACTTTTTGTGAGCCTCTCTGGGAAATACCTGTGCATAAGCCCCTGGCTGGATCCTCACCATAGATCTGGACAACGGATAACCCCACCTCCTTTTTATAGGTAAGGAAATTGAGAAGCACAGGAAGAATATAAGGTGCTCAAAGTCACCACGCACAAAGGGGGGCAGTTGGGATCCCCACCCAAAGCGTCTCCCCGCAAAGCTACCCTCTCTCTGAACCCTGGGGTGGCAGATCTGCAATAAGGTCCATTCCATTGGGGTTTTCAGAACTTCAGTTCCTTAAAGTGGAATGTGTTTGATAGGCATTTAGGAATTGGTTGACCCCAGTGTACAGACATCTACATTCATTCTTGGTCAAATAAATGCATATGATATTTACAATTAAGTTCTTTATCACATACTCCTTCCCACAGATTCACACCTGCTACAGGTACATTGTGCCAATGCATGTTACTCAGGAATACTGGCAAAGGAGGGCAGGAATAAATATGTAGGGAAGAATGCAGCTGTTGACTTTTAAATCAAAGTAAAAACAGTACCACATAATCAATCCCGAATCATTAAGTATCAGAAATATGTATAAAATCTCATTTCAATTTATACACAGTGAATAGAACACAGAATGCCATGGTATTTCCTTGCATCTGAGAACAAGCGCATTAACTTATAGAGACCCAGGTACCTCTCTACATTTTTCTCTTAAGTGACTTCTGAAAGCAAAACAAAGCATAATGAAAACAAACCTCCAGCAGTGTGAGTCAAGATGGTCAGTATTCCCTTGTTTGTTTCAGCAATGGTTTGGGGCCTTATATGCTGCAGCAGACCTAAGAATCATTTGTCTTTTGAACCTCTTGACCCACTAACTCATCCTTGGGTATCAAGGGACAACTGTTAGACCTGCCCTCACTGCTATCCTCAAACTGCTTTCTCCAGGCAGTCGGAGTGGTTTGGAAGTCCACAGCTCTGCCTTTGCTATGCTCTTCCCACCTCTCTGCTGCAAGGAGAGCCCAACGAGGGGATGGAGTGTGGATCATCCCTTGCAGGAACAGAGGCAGCTGCCCTTCTGGCAGTGCTCTGACACTCAGCAGGGAGCATGTTCTCACTCAAAACCAAGGCAACTCGCCCACCATCCAGCAAGCCTGCATCACATGGCTACTCGCTGTGCATGTTTGCTGGCTTTGGGTTGAAGCCAGTCCCAGAGCCCTGCTCACACCACACTGTGGTTCCTCTTTGGCTTCCATAGAAATGGTTCTTTCAAGCCTGCATCGAGCAAGATGCATTTAACTGACCCCATTCCTTTTAACAAGCAAGCATGAGAAGAGTTAACAGCTTCGCAAAGACAGTGCGATGCTGCCACCGCTCTGCCTCATTACTCACTGTTTCAGGATGGTGCTTACATCCAATATGCACATTTTAGTCTCCTCATGCCTGGGAACCAACCACACTTTTGTTCTAGCTTGCCTCCCTGTTTTATCTTATTTAATGTGGTTAGGCTCCTGTCTTGTTCTGATATTTGCTTTATATAATTGGGTTACCCCATTCGGGCTGTTGCCCTGGCCTGCATGTTGAAGATGCAGACTTGTTTTTTGACTAATACTGCCACTGGGGAAAGGTAGAATTGTATGAGACCGAGACGGCGTCCTCTTTGGAGGGGGACACATTCTGAGCAGGAGTCAAGTGTGGCAGATCTAAATGCTTTCCAGTGCTTTGCAGCAGGGAAAATGACAGATTCCTGATATCCACGGGTGTGGACTAGCCCAATGAACTCAAGGCTCACATGCATTCCCCCGCCTCTCTGTGTGACAGGGGCAAAGTCTCCCAGATAAATGCACCAAGCAGAAGATGTTGCTCCCCCAGCTATAGCTTGGAAGTAGCTCTCGGAGGAGGCAGAGAATGAAGGACAGAAGGTGGGAATGGACCCCCACCACTTCTCCACAATCACCAAAAAAGCCAATTAGGAGGGACATGCCAATTCGAGGCACCCCAAGGAGATGATTTTTCCAGCCTCACCCCTGATGCGAGCTGCTTTCCAAAACGCAAGCGAGGACAGACTCCCAAGTGTTCTGTTCTGAGTGGCGAAATAAGCTACAAGCACTTGTAAACACAACAACCAGGACGGGGATATTCACCTGGAACGATTGTTTATGTTGGCAAATTGGCTGCCACTGTGGTTAGACAAATGCTCCCATTTCCGTGGAGACAAAAGGCAAGCATTTGCAATCAGTGAGGAGAGTGTGTTCATTCTGGGGCTAAATGGCATTATAAAACTTCCTAATTAAGCATATACGCCAATGAATTTTTAGCATCCTTTCTCCAATTTAGCTTTACATACTGGGCGCGCTGTTTAGTACAGCATTAACTATAAACATTGTTGTTACTGCCCCCAGCTGGAAAACAGAGCAGTTTATGTGTTGAAGAAAAAAGAGATTATCTCCCATCTGCTCCTGCCCATTATTCAGGGATGTGTCATTTTGTCTGCGGATGGGAACCATCACGAGGATTTTTCTTAAGTGGCCTTTTTATGCTTAGTAGTTATATTTATTAATTATTGTAGCTACTTAGAATTTTACTCTTACCTTTGAATCACTTAATTTTCTGTAAATTCAGCTTTTTGGGGGGGATAAATGAGATGAATTTAGACATGTGATTTTTGTTAGACAAATATGCATAACTGTAATTAGACATGCTTGATGCCTGTTTGTAACTGTATGTCAACTCTACACACATAAGTCTGGTTAATGTGCCTGAGGATTGGAGATGTACAATTAAAGAAAGCTTGGAGCCTGATGTGTTGCGGTTTATAGAAAGTACAAACCAGGCAAGGTTAATTAGCATGGATAAAGACCAGGGTCAGTATTTACCCCTGAGCTAAAGTGACCCTCCTAGGAGAGCCTGGGGGAAGCCCCTGGGGCGTGAGGAACCTGCACAGCCCCGAGCTGCAGGTTAGTGCCGCTCAGTTAGTGCCGCTTCCAGGCACGCCTGTGGGCTGTATGGGCTTCTCTGTGTATGCTACCTTCTGATACAAAGTAAAGGATTCAGGAGTCATCTTCCATGTAAAAAAGTGCAGAAATCAGAGTCTGAATAAAGGCAAGGTAGGATTAATTCAACTGCCCCTCCCCAGTAGTTAAAGAAAAAAGCCAAAGTTCTACATCTAGAATGCCTGATTTACTTAGTTCAATAAGAAGTTGGCTGCGCAGCTCCTACAGATATGTCAATGTGAAAGAGATAAACAGCTTTCTCAGTCAAAATGACTTTTAAAAATAACCTATTGAGGTTTGGGTGTTTCCTTAATTTACACAGACTTGGAAATCACAATTTTAGCATTTTTTAAAATGATTTGTCACAACATGCCCTTTTCTGGCTTTCTTAAGTTCTTTGTCATGAGTGAGTGTATAATGATAAAAATCATTAGGAGTAAACGCTGGGTGCTAAAATTATATATTATATATGTAATACATATACATACATATATATATATACACACACATATACATCCATATCTAATTTTTCTTTTCCCGTAAATCTTGGCAGTGCAATCTGTAAAACAGTCACTGCATTACCACGACAGGCTCCAGCATTTGGGAAAAACCATGCCAAAACCAGTGCATTTTTCTTGGCAAGTGCTAAGACATGGAGCTTTACCTGGAGATCACTTGGGAAAACATTAAGAGGGAGAAGCCATCAAAACCCATCCTGTTTGTGACTAAAGAGATACAAACGATATTTCCTGAAGGAGACACCAGGGTCATTGATTAGAATAGAACACGACTGGATAGAATTCTTCACCCAGTTAGAAAAAAATCAATCCCTCCCCATAGACTTTTTCTTTTCTTTTCTTTTTTCTTTTTTTTTTTTTTTTGCTTGAACAGAGAAGCCAGCTAAATAATCTGACAGTTACAAATACTGAAAAGTAAATTCATGCAATAGCTAGTACATAAAAGGATTTCCAGGGAAGAGAGGTAACAAGAAAACAAAAACGAAACAAAAAGGTGGAGAATTGGAAAACACAAGATTATCAACACACACAATGCATTCTATAGCCCATTGTCCTCCAGGCGCTTCTACTGCTAAGGTGTAAATGCATTGTTTCATCCATCTCAGAAGGTCAAGGTTGGGCTTGATGACTTTAAAATGACAGTATATGCTTCTATAGAACAGACACTACTGTGCTACTGTTCTCCCATTTATCAAGGGACAGAAGAGCACCAGAAATCATTGCTTTAATCAGCAACATCAAGAAAATTCTTTGGTATTAGCACTAAATATACTGTCCTTTTAACCAGAAGGGAAACTGATACTGAGCATGTGCAATGGAAAGAAAGCTGGCAAATGTCAGTGTGAATAATGGGTGAAAAAAAGGAATGAGGGGGTGTGGCATCTCAATCAAGATTAAAATGAAACTGATAAAGCAGCATATGGACTGGATAACAAATCAAAAGCATGTTTATCCACTGAAGGAACTGGTTAATGGAGACTGCCAGCACGTTGCCATGGAGACACTGACTGTTGAGCTGCACCATCTCATACCTTATCCAATACATTCCTGGTTGTTGGTAGTAGTCCAAAGACCCTGATCTCTTGATGGTAAACCCGTGGTCCAGCTGAGCAGAGAGAAATGGGGCAACTCAGTGGATCAACATTGTGCTAAAGAGTTCAGACTCCAGACCAAGCTGTTCTTCATTAGCTATGTAGGTATACATAGTCACCATGCCTCTTCTGCAGGGAAACTAGCTAAGGGCTTAAATCCGCACATTGGAAACAAAGCAAAACAAAAAGCAAATAAGACACTAGTCCCTCAGGGCTCTCTCAGAGGCCAATTTGTTAGATCGAGGGCGTCAAAGCAGTTTCTGAATGCACACTTAATAAGGTCCTTGCAATTTCAAAAAGATATAAACACCCCTTAATATGCCATAGAATGGAAAACACTTTATAATTAAATAATGTACTTAAATCAGCATTAGCCACCTAAGAGAAAGCAGATTGGACACAAGTTGAACTTTGAGGGCCTTGCAAATATGAAATAAAACAAGCAAAGAATCCCATTTTGAAAACCCATACATTTCTTTATGAACTCATCTTCAAATCAGAGCTACTCCTCAAAGTGTATCAATTACATTTCTGAACTAAAGAGACACAACATAATGCAGTCAGTAAATTTTCTCTCCAAAAATAAGAAAATCAATGAAAATTAAAATATCTTTGTTTATAAAGAGCGCAAACAGTTAAGTACTCCTAATTATCCAAAAGTGCAATAAATAGCAGGTCATGCATGTGTTCAACATTGTTCATTCTGGCCTTTGGCTACCTGGGAATCCACATTCCACCCCCAAACAGAAGAAGAATCACCACGCTGTGTGCCCACTTTCCTGTTCTGCCCCTGAGAGGCTGCCTGTCTCTAGGGACAGGCTCATGTGTTCTGTGGAATGGTACAGTGCTGCGATGCTCATGGCAGTCCCTGCATCCACATTCACAAAGGCATTTCAAAAACATACCAGCTACAAGGTATTTAAAACTCAAAACCACTCAAAAGATCGGGTGTTCTAATTATAAACGAGGCCTCTTGGTGCTGGTGGAAGGCAATATGAGGCTTTCCTATTTTAAAAGATGTACATTTCATTGTTTGGAAAAAAAACCTGAAGTACACCTGCTTCTTGGAGGAAGGTGTGCCCTGGGTTTTTAGTCCACGAAGGTGGCTACTTATTAACTAGTTCTCTACCGCCATCTAGAGGCAAAAGGTTACATAACAAGATTTAAGGTCTCATTTAGAACCGGGCTTCCCAGGATCAGGATCTTGTGCATGCTGATTAGTATGGATTTGTTCAATTAAACTGAAATGTTCTATTTGCATGAGCAAAATGCAAAAGAAGAACTTTAAAGCATTAGAAAATTATCAGTTAAAATAATAAACAGCATTAAATGAGGAAAAATAAATTGGAACTGACATCTTAGTCATCGGTTCTTCATCAAGCTGAGCAAATCTAATAATACCTCCCTTCTTCCCTCAGCTCTCAAAAAGTCCACCGTTAAAATGTCATCTCTAATTTCATTTTACGTCTATAAATTGCATTTTAATAACCTTTTGTTTCACTTTCCCTGTCCTGCCTTTCTCCCCTCTCCTTTTAATCTCCCAACAAGTGGGGAAAGGCGGAGAACAATGGAGTCCTCCCAGCGGGCCGAGTGCTGCAGTTCCCAGGGCAGTGTCAGGCCTCTGTCTCGTCCCACGGCTTGACCTGTGTGGGAACACCTTCCCACCTTCCACAAGAACTGCGGGACCCCTGTGAGCCTGCAGCTGGTCACTGCTCTGCTAGACAAAGGTGGCCTCCTGGCAACCTTACTATAAAGTTAGCATCTGTCATTAGTCATAGCAATGTCTGGGCTGGGAAGCAAGGAAGAAAATGGCAACATCACACACCCACCAGAGCTCAGGGCCACAAGCACACGTGGAGGTATGCTTGTGGGAAAAAAATGAAGCTGTGCACACGGAGCCTCTGCCACGACAGTGTGCTTTTTAAACGTCACATTAAGATAGAAAAACATTTCATGAATTCTTTATAAATATCGTTGATCTCCAGTAGGTAGTTAGATTTCTAACCACAGAAGGAAAATTACTAGTTCAAGACCAGATTTGTGCTGATTTCCTGAAACAAAACAAAAAACAAACACTGTGTCTTTGAAAATTTTAAAGAACTTTTTAAAGGGTATATGTGATTAAAAAAAAATCCCACATCAGTGGATTTTAAAACAAAAAAAAATACCATTTTGTGGCCTCTGGAGAGAATATAGATGCCAAAGGAAAAAACTGTCCAAATAGAATATTTGTTGAAAATGTTTTTTTTTTTCCTAAGTCCATCAATAGAAGTCATTACTGTGCTGGTGCTACATTAACTACTGTGAATGAATAATTACGTTGATTTTTTTTTAAAGTTGTCAAATGCTCTTTCTAGAATACCCCACTTACGAAGGAGAATTCTCATTCCTGCTTACATTCTTCCTCACTACAAAATACTGCTTTTTGGTAGTCAAACTGTAGTTTGGGTTAGAATGTTATTTTAACACCAAGGCTTCTCTTTCATGTAATACTTTACCTGGGTACTTTGAATGGAAAGATTGTTATGAAACAGAAATGGATTTATCCAACATTTTGGAATTAATAACAAGGGGCACCTTGCTAGCCGATTTCTACTTCCCAGCGCTGCCCTATGACCTGTGACCTCACAGAGCTTCTGGAGGATGCTCGGGAGGAAACACGCACAAGCACACATGAGGGCAGCCCAGTTTCTCCGATACAAGGGAAATTACGCGACTGCTCTGCTTTATGCTTGACATGCTAATGAGAGCAGTTAACTTGTGAGTGGTGCTAAAGACTGGATAACGCACTTTACAGGATGGATTTTTTTTCTCAAATGAGCCAATTATCTTAAATTTACATGAATAATAATTATTACATTTTAAGTTTGTAGTGCATAATGGAGGTTAAATAAGTGTGCGACTACCATGGACCTCGACATGACAACACACAGTCCATTTTGTGCCTGTGTCATGGCAAACACGTGAATGATGAACTGAGAAAGCGGCAATAAAATTGCATTTACAATGGTCCAAGCATGATGGAGGGAGAAAAATCAGTGGAAATTTGATTTCCAAATACTCACTGGAGTGTTTTGAGATACTCTTAGATGAAGTTTTAATAAACTCTTATGGATTAGGTTTCAAAATGTATCCAGATCTTATTAAAATCGAATTTCCTGTCAAATGTGTGCCATCTGTCAACTGGAAATGTCCGTGTAGCTCCTGTCTCAGTCACTGCCAGCCTCCCAGGACAGTGTGAGCAACGCATCATCAAGCAGCCAAGGCAAACTGAACCAAAGACTAACAAAAACAAAAGACCAGCAGAAAAAGAAACAAAACTCAAAATGACTGAGGTGGGAAAGGTGCCTTCCAGCGCAGGAGCGGAAAAGCAGTCCTTTTCATGGACAAGCGTGCTGGCAGTCCATTCCAAAAGAAAACTATGGAATCCAGTGTTTGGAATAGACTGAACAATGAAAGCGGAGTCTACCATGTCCGGCTTAGTGGAGAATTACCATGAGACCACTATGTGCCAAAACGATTGACTGAATGGCAGTTGATGACAAAGAATCCTGGCAATCTACAAAACACAGGGATGAATATTGACATCTGAGTTGAATTTTTTTTTTTTTAAGAACTAAAGAGAGTGGGCCTGGAGAACAACTTGGGGTTTTAAAAACCTCAGCTACCCTGGGCAACCTCTGCAAGGGTACGCACTCAGATTAGTGCGACCAGCTTCCTCCCATGCCGGTCACTACACACCTGCCTGAAGCTCACTTTTGAAAGGGATTTAAGTGAGAAACACGAACTATGAACAGGACAACAGCATGTGTCTACGTGTTCGTACACTGCGCACACTTTAGAAGCCCACGTCAAATATTCAGTATCCTATTTCTGGGATCAGTTGTACTAAATAGGTCATTTATTTATCTTTAGCGCTAGCTGGAGCTCTAGCTCTGGACTAAAAAAGAAAGAAAGAAGATGAAAAGCATCTACAGGAGTGAAACATTCAGCACCGCTCATCAGCGTGAGGTACTGTTTAACAGCATAAAGGTTTTCTGAAAATTTCACATTGTAGTGTCTGTCGTTTTTCGTTCAGAAAAGAAAAAACAGCTCAAGTGATTTTTCTTTTCCCATGGAATATGCTGTTCAGATTTACTCTGAGAAAAGAGGAAATTATTAAAAATTCAAGCAATCTGGTCCTTGAATATATTTACTCTAAGAAAATGACACCAGGAAGTCTGAGGTTTCATTATTTCTCAGCCCAATTTAATCCTTGCCTAGAGCTGTTAGCAAATTGCATGTAGTGAATGTCTGCGTGTGTAGAACAGGAAAAAAGGGATGCATCTCCGTGTGCTCGCATCCATAAAAGGGTGAATGCTGAAAGACTTCAACTGTAAGAACAGAAATTGCTAAGGAGCCAGACGTCATGACCTCATTGGATGTTCACAGCTCTTGCTCTTACTAAAACCTCTGACTGCGGGAGCTTCCTGCCATGTGTAGGCTTTTGTTCAGGTCTACAACAAAGATCTATGGAGCTCGAATCTTTCCCTGCCATGGCGGCTCTCTCAGCTCACCTTTTGTCTCCAGGTCCTGACCAAGGGGCATTCTGATCTCTTTGCTTAGAGCCAAAATGTTTGCATTGGCAGAGTCCAGTGTGGGGGAGGTTTCTATTTTTTTTAAAAAAATGAAATTAACATAGACTGCAACATAGACACCCTGGAGGTGCTGGATAATGATGTGAGCCCAGGGACTTGAGCTGCAGAAACCCAGAATGTACAGATCAGCCTCACACCTCCTACGGTGCAGTCAGTCTTAAAGAAATGACCCATTCTGCTGTCTCTGGGTGGAGTCTCCTGAGTGAAGCCTGTCTCTTAAGTGGGTTGTTGCTTTAAAAAAAAAAAAAAGTTACAGGTGGATATTTCAGATGCTTACTGCTATGACAGAAACTCCAGCGGCTGTGCTGTTCGGCTTGGGCCCAGTGTTGAAATGCTTCTTGATCTTTCCAGCTACTGACAGCTGATGCTCATTTTCTGGGAGACCATCATCCTGGGAGAAAAAAAAAATAAAGAGAGCAAGCGAGAGGGGGAGGAGGGGAAGAGAAGAGAAAGAAGGAAAAATTAGATAAACAGAAAATGAGACCAAATTCTTCCACTACCAGACAGTGATGTTAGAAGTCTTAGGATGTCAAAAATAAAGCAACTGGCGTCCTCTGAGGGAGCACTGGTGTTGAAAGCACGTGTGTATCAGTCACAGCCACATCTGCTCTACAATGCATCCTCTCTTTGTCATCTGACCCCAAAGGTTTTATTTCCTCTAAATTAAAGGGAAAAGAAAAATTCTGTTTCTGGTTTCTAGTAAAAATCTGTTTACAATCATGGCTCTAGAAACAGATGTTAGCAAACAATTTAACCTAGACAATTTAAAAAAAAAAAAGGCAAGATGATTCTCTCTTTTTTTTTTTTTCCTACTCCACCCTTTTGACTGAAAACCAAGAATACTGGTAAGCTGTACTCCTACAGGGCTATAAACAAATGCAGGTTTGTATCACGGCTGCACATAATCCCAGGCCACCTGCCAAGAGGAAAGTTCTTCCTTAAGATTACAACCATCCCTGTTGCCTTCAAATCACCTGTCAGGATGACATCCTCCACACTGCAGCTCATTCTGCTTCTTGCCATGACTGCCTATGACTGAGGCTTGGCAAATTGCTCTCCTGCATTAAATACTGCCAGAATAGCCATAACCGGGGCCATGAGCATGAGCCACCACTTACTCATTCACGACGGAAATGCTCCACGAGCCTTGAAGGAAAAGACTGCTTTGCACACTATGGAATTCCAAGGTCTTAGCATGGTATAGAAATCCATAGTAGATGTCTAATAAATTATTTGTCTAATAAATGGATGGATAATAAAGTGTGGTGGATAAGAGTGTTACAGTCTATTAAAACTAAAATCTTCGATGCCCATGTTTTTATTCTCTCCTTTCATTCATTTTGTTCATAGCTCTTGTCATAGCCCGGAAATACACATTATTTAAAATATGACGTACTTGCTCTAATTACATGAGCTGGTCTCTCCAGATAGATATAGCATTTTCTTCAGCATTTGGCCATTCACTTATTCACATAATACCAACTGCATGTCTCCTATCAGGAGCCATAGTGGGTGGTGGGGAATGAGGAGTTCTGCCCTTCTGGACTCTTCTCTTCTGAGCCCTGTGCTCCCTTCAAACTTGGGTCCTAATGACCTGGTCAAGATATTTTCCTCCAATTAAGCACCACTTGTAGTGGATTTTCTTTGCATCAAATTGTACTATTTATATTTCTTGGTGTTTAGTTATTACAGGCATAAATACCTACACTAATATAGTTTAGACATATATGTATATATATTATGCATATGTTTATATAATTCTTACCCTCTTTTACCAACCTTTTCTGCAATGTTTAATGCAAAGCACTTGGTTCAGTGTCTATATAGAATGGATTTTAAATGTTTGACATTCAGGAGCACATCACTGATTAGAAGGAGTTACTCATATACTTGAGACAAATTTGACACCAAACTGGAGACAGGTTTTCTACTAATGTACAGTGAATTTAAAATAAACTTCCGCATTGTAGAAAGAGCCAGAAATTAGACATTGAGTTGGATAATACTTGGTGAGCTAAGGGAACAGGGATATACAAAGTACATATGGTGACAAGGGCTGATTGGCAAGGCATGGGAAGCAGCAATGATATCTGCCCGAGCTAACGAGGGGCAAAGTACACAGACGCTGGACCCAGAAATGGAACGAGTCAACAATGAGAGAAAATTGTCACAGGCAGCACATCCTCCTCGCTCAGGCAGAAACATCAGAGGAGTTCAGAGGAGAGAGAATGGGATAGGGACATGTTCTGTTGTGAGCAAACAGAGGAGACTTCATGGGACAGAGGCCTAACCTGGCCCCTAATAAGGAGGATGTTGATGGGAAGATAGGAAGTAAGGTGAGATTTTGGAGAACGGTGTACCCAAGTGGGAATCGGGAATCCACAGGCATGCTTGGTAAACAAGGAGTCTACTGGTTCCCCTCTTTTTAAGAGTTCATGTGGGAGATTCGTGCGGGAGAGCAACGGCAGACAAAGCTTAGAGCCCAGGAAAAGTCTGACCACAAAGGTCCACATTAAAGCTGTCAGTCTCAATTATGACTGAGCATTGCTTTTCAGTAAGAGAAATGCAAAGATAAGAAGTGTAAAGGGTTTCCTTCCCCTTATTATTTATTTTCTACTCTTTCTTTCTTTCTTTCTTTCTTTCTTTCTTTCTTTCTTTCTTTCTTTCTTTCTTTCTCTTTCTTTCTTTCTTTCTTTCTTTCTTTCTTTCTTTCTTTCTTTCTTCTTCCTTCCTTCCTTCCTTCCTTCCTTCCTTCCTTCCTTCCTTCCTTCCTCCCTTCCTTCCTTTCCTTCCTTCCTTTCTTCTTTCTTTCTTTCTTTCTCTCGTTCTCTTTCTCTTTCCTACAGTGCACTATCCTGTTCTGCATGTGAAAGACAGAAGGTGAATTATAATCCCAAACAATTAGGAGGTTTGACCCAAAGTTTGAAACATGGGACAAAATCAGTGGTGTCTATAAAATGCTTTTATACAATGGATGAAAAAAACAGGCCCTTGGAATTCTAGTCACACAACTTCCCTTGTAAACCAAAGTAATTCTGTTTTAAGATTTATTTTTATTTTTATTGAAAAGTCACATTTACAGAGAGAAGTAGAGGCAGAGATAAAGATCTTCCATCCACTGGCTCACTCCCCAACTGACCTCAATGGCCAGAGCTCAGCCGACATGAAGCCAGGAGTCAAGAGACTCCTCCAGGTGTCTCACGTGGGTACAGGGTCCCTAAGACTTTGGGCTGTCCTCAACTGATTTTCCAGGTCACAAGCAGAGAGCCAAAATGAAAGTGGAGCAGCCAGGATATGAACTGGTGCCCACATGGCATCCTGGTACATGCAAGATGAAGATTTCAGCCATTAGGCTACCATGCCAGGCCCAAAGTTATTTTTTTTTAAATATATTTCTTCTTATTTGAGAGGAAGTGAGGAGAGATACGCAAAATACCTGCAATGGTTGGGGCTCAGTCAGGCTGAAGTTGACAGTGAGGAACTCACAGTCTGCCCCATGGCTGACAGAAACCCAATCACTTGAGCCAATACCACTCTCTTCATGGGTCTGAATTATCACAGTTGGAGTGCCTGTTGAACCCAGATATTTCAATAGGGCTGTGGATGTCTTAACTGGTAGACCAAATAAGCCTCTTTAAGTTCAATTATTGAAACTACTTAAACATTCGCCACGGGATGACACTGCTATGAGCTTAGGGAGCTAGTTCAGGCTCACGAACTTGAAGGCCATGCCTCCTCTACTTACCTGGTTCTTTTTGTCCACCTGTGATGCTCAACTATCATCACCTGGAACCTGAGGGGGGTGGGATTGTGCTGTTGCTTAGCCATTGCCCTTGCAAGCCCCCATAAAGGCCCATGGTAGGGAGGGGGCTCACTTTCTTGGTCACGTGCTTCTATCACTCTGGCATTCCAACTTCCCCAGTACCTGCCTGCTCTCTGGCTCCCTACAGACAGACCCCAAGGACAGAGGTAGCCACTGAACATGGCCACTGTATGTCTGTGTTCCTCACCCTCTCTTCACTGCTTGGGTGGGCAGTAGAAATGTTAAGAGTCTTTATGTTTCTAATCTGTGTACTTTCCAGGAGAGTGATGGAATGTGGACAGAGAAGCCAGGAAAAGGTGAATGTTTACAGCTTTCTAAGTGTGTCCAGGCTGTTAACTGCATGTCTCTTAGGATTACATATTGCTGGGGAAGCTGGGACATGGGTCTTCATTTTAATGGACAGGATTCACAGTAATAATCATTTCTTCCTCTCAGGATTTTGATTCAGACTGGATTGCCACTGGACTTGTCATTTGTTAATTTCTAGTGGGCCCTGCCATCACCAAGCTTGGTTAATAAAGACTCCTTAAAATACCCTAGACTTGTCTGGCATGATCTCTCTTACATCCTGCTGCAACACGATCCTGAGTAGCATGCTTCTGGCAAGCCTGGGGTTCTACGTGAATGAATGGTCACCCTGGTAAAGTTAGGCATGCTGTGCCTCACCCCAAAACTGTAACTATACTACCAACCATCTTAACAGAGTTCTAGGTTCCCTTAGGCAAAAAGCTTTACATGGAGCTTGGTATTAAAAAACAGTCAGATAAACACAACAGAAAGCAGATCAAGTGAATGTTTTCCTTTATAGACAAAAGCAATTGAAGCATAACTGTGGTGCTAGGGTGAGAAACTGGCAGAAAGGAAGAGACAGGAATAGTGGGTGGAAATGAAGCAGTTTGCCTGTGGGGGAACGGGGATTGTTTTGAACCTTTGCTGGGGGAAAGCTGAACAGGAAAGGAGTAAGACTTGTTTTGAGGTGTAGGAGAGACAAATGAAAAGAGAAACACAGGGAGGGGAGATGACACCAGGAGTCACCTGTGTTAACGATGTACGCAGACGATCCCATCATTCTCAGACTATCATCTCCAATTGGCAGGAGTAGCCCCATCTTGAAGACGAGCAAAGGGATAACTTTTGTTCAAGGTTACACAGGGGTCAAGTCAGGAATGAACCACGTCCAACAGTATGATTCGTTCTACACTATGCTACACAGTCAAGGGCATTTCCTAGTATGGTTTTTGATTGTCAAAAGGCTGCAGAAACGTGAAGTCAAAATGCTACGTTTCTATGATGCAAGATGCACAGTGGTGAAGGGGCATGGAGAGTTGAGTTAGGGATTGAAAATACCTAGAAGAATTATACCTAAAAGAAATGTGGGTGGGACTTAGTGGAACCTGTGAAGCACTTGGAGTTCAATGAAAGGGATCGGGTGCACTTTTGAGGGGCTCTTGGGAAACCTCAAGACTCACAGTCCAGGGGATCCTGGGAAACCAACTCTGGATACAGCCACCTGACCTGTAAGGGCTGGGGCTCCAGGCAGCACACACAGAGCCTGGTTCACCCAGCAT